AACCAGCCGTGTAAAGAAAAAATCGTTGAACGGAGATTGTAGTAAAGGTTCCTTTCCTATTTTTGTGGCTTTATCAGTAATGTTATGATTTGTTGTAACATTTGGTTGAAATTGCTGTTGTAATATGTCGGCAAAGATCTCACATTTTTCTGGGTTTATTTTGTTTTTTTTAATAAATAAATTCAACAAAGAGGTGATGGTGTAATTCAAACACGACATATTTTCCTAAGTACGGAAGAAGGCTGTTTTTTACTAATCAACACATACAAAGTGGATAATTACGTTGCTTTATTTAAAGATCTATAGCATATATTTTACTGGTAAATAACTACCTATGATTAAAAAGAGGCTAATAAGAAATAAACAAAAATTTACTAACACTTGTGATTAATCTTTAGGGCACCGTGAGGCAGGTATACATTACCGTCACGTCACGGGAGTTAATTTAATATTACGCGTACTCATGAAGTAATGGCAGAAAGATGTAAAATATCATTTAGTAGTTCCGCTAATAATCCGCAACTGCGGTCACACTGATATCATGTAACCAACTTAAATTTCAACTCTCTCTTAATACGTGACATCATGGATGGAACTGTCGCTAGTCTATACATTCTGTGTCCTCACGTCTTTCCATTTCTGTCAGTTGTAAACATGGCGGAAAAGCACCCAATAGTTGTCTGTTTTGGTTTGGTATACCCGAATGAAGCCACAGTTTAAATTCCTCTTCTCCATTCCGAAGAACTAATCAAGAGAAGAGAGAACCGGTTTATTCGATGGCGGATTTATGGTATAAACCATTGAATTTATTTTCAATTACACGCATAAAAGTCATTCTCATACACTAATGATGCACCACGTAACCCGCATAAAACAACGCTGCAGAGAACAAACAGAAATTCATTTTATAAGGTGCTATCCTGCAATAATCAATTAACCGATTATTCTTTTTTCATAATACCCAATATTATGTTTTTTGCCTGTTGAAACTTCGTCCTAATAATGTTATCCATCCACATAATTTATTTGCTGAACAACAAATCAGTTATATATTTTATACAGTGCTAATTAACAAAAGCTTGTTGTTAAATATTAAAAATAATAGTATGTGCACTTGTCTCATTAATGCTTAGCCTTGGTTTTAACAGGTAGCTTTAAAAAATACTTTAAACAGTAAACAAGAAAACACATTACTGTAGTTAAAACAAGATTGGTAGTGATAAGACTATATTATAGGGTTTTACTTATAATATATAATATGGGAGGTTTATGGGCTGTTAAACAACTGTGGTCATTCCTGTTGTATTAAATTACCAATAGTTGTCTTATTTGATTTGGTGTATCCAAATATTGTTTGATCTTTTCCATATTAAGTGCTACATAAGCAATAACAGTGTACATTCTTTTTCCCCATTCTGAATAAATAATAAAAGTATGGAGAGTGATGCTGTCCTTGATTGTGAGTATATCTTCAAATAAATTTGCAACTGTGTATTAAAAACATAATTATGTCAGTTTGTAGACGTCTTAGCACATAACATTGAATGTATTTTTTCATACAGATCATTACGAGATGCAGATTATTCGTGATTAAATTACCCACAACACTTAAATGCCTACTAAGTTATCATACGCATTAAAAGTTTTGGGGAGGCAATAAATCTAAATTGAATAATATTGGTAATAAAGTTGACCAAGATTAGACGAATAAGTTGCGTGTCACGTAACGGAAAGCCCCCATGTACCGCAATGAATTGTTGATCACTGTTTAAGGCAAGTTGGAGAAGTTGATTTATTGTACATTGGCAAATGGAGATCGATAAAATATACTTTCGACTTGTTAAAAAATATACTCGAGGATGTTAACTTTTACATTTATACTTCGTATTCAATCCAATTATTTTACACGATAAACGATTATTTAATTTCTCTCGTAAAATAATAAAAGACAAATGTTATTGAAGTTACGATCATTAAATTCAGTTAAATATTTGTAAATTTGTTTATAAATCAAATTTGTTTTTGACTCGCTGGACATTATTTTTTTATGACCACCATTTTGTGCAATGTTATATCTGAGTGTGAGTATTTTCGGTGTACAGTGTAGATGCAGTATATTCATGCTTGTGCGACGTGATGTTTTCAAATTTATTTATTGAATAAATCAAACGAAGGAACGGAAAAATATATGTGAAATGTAAAATATTTCAATTTTTCTTATTTAACATGGATTTGTTTAAAGATTTACTTCGAACTTTTTCATATGTATAATTTGCATATTTTGTTAACTTTTCCAAGTGTTTTATTTTCTTTTTTCATTAACTTTTTTGGAAGTTTCGGAAATGTACACCCATCATCACCATCTAACCATATTTCCGTCAATGCCAAAGTGAGGCTTATCACAACAATAAATATAAAAAAAGGATATTAGGTTATATTGTACATTATAGTTACTTTTANTATTATTGTAAAATTAATGGTTGGTATAATAAGACCAGTTTTAATAAATAAATTTAATTTAACAAAATCTTTTTGACTGCTGTATCATTATTTTAAAATATTATTTAAGAAAGAAAAATTTACTTTCACACAAGCCAAGAATGAAAAAATACCGTAAAAATGTATCTAAAGCAAAATCTAATTTTTTGCTATTATTAATATCATTGTTTACAAAATGCAATCTTTATTTTTTTTAAATTATATATTTTTTATTTTACATACAAGGATGTGTTTTTTATATCAACTTCAGTAGCTTCCTTTTGTCCATTTAAATTAATTTTATAAATAGGCTGTATTGCTTTATTGGGACCAACTTGTAGTAGACGATGATTTTTATAACCAAGTTTCTCACATATTGGGAATGGTTTTCTCAAGATGTTTTAACGATCTTCTTTTTGTATTTTTCCTCATAATTTATAACTATTACAGTTTTTTATAACAAACGAATCATTAATTTTTTTTAACTCTTGTATTAAATTTTGCACAGTTATGAATTTATTTCTCTCTAACATAGGTTGTACCTCAAGTGGAAGATTATAAACTGACACTATAACTATTTGGTAAATTATACTTCTGGTTTATAATATCTGCTTTAAGCAATAAACGCTCTTTTTAGGCACTAAAATCAGTCAAGAATCCCCATATATATTTAATTAAATAGATATAATAGAAGATCTGCTTATGTTTTCCCAAGTTGATAAGTATGACCTTTTCTAACATTCCCAGTTTGGTACTGACAGAAGAAGAAAATTATCACAGTACCAATATTTTACACTTCCTTGTAGAAATAATATTCATATGAGATTTTTGTCTTCGATTCCTGGATTTATTAAAAATTATCATTCGAAATCCTGGGATCATCTAATTCCTAAACTAAGTTATTTCGTTCCCTTACAAATTCGTTCAAATAATGATTTCTGTAGAAGCTTTTCATGCAATTGTGGTTTTAATGTGACAGTTAATTTTCTATGAAAGATTTGGTAATAATGGCAAATGTTGGAATGCCTAGTAATCCTTGTGTAAACTTAAACCTTTTAAATCATCTGTCGGCACATTTCCATACAATTTTATCATTGAATAGAGCAGCCAGGTCGAACTTATCCACTTCTCTTGATAATCTGTACATATAACTTCTTCAGTACTTCCGTTTTTTTAAAAGTTATTCAGTTTGTAACTCTGTAACAACAATGACGTTAGACGATTGTTAAAACAATTGAAATGAATGACAGTCAATATTTTAGAGTTACTTCACTGCTTCAGTCTTCTTACATTCACTATTATCTCAACGTGTCCAAACTTCCAAAACAATTGAATATTAATTATTAGATTTGGTGGTCCGATTGACCAAATTACATCTTTCAATTAATTAACTTTTATGTAAGGTATTGGTTGAAATAAAAAAGTCAGTGTCACGAGCGGGATTCGAACCCACGACCTTCAGCTATATACGCCGCTGCTCTACTACTTGAGATTTTGCCATTTATTTAGCCGAAGGTTGTGGGTTCGAATCCCGCTCTTGACACTGACTTTTTATCTCAACCAATACCTTACATAAAGATTAATTAATTGATTAATTAAAATATTTAGGAGTCCTTATAAATTACAAATATTTCTTTGCTATCAGTAATCTAGGTATTTTGGTTTAACATTTTTCTTGTAGAAACATTTAAGCCCAATAAAATTTATTTCTGAAATTATAAATATTGTTACAGAAATATTTATTATACTGGGTTGCGATGACGTTGATTTATCTTCAGTGTATTTATTCTATGTTTTATTAGTAATTTATTATTAATAACGGCCGAATTAAAAAAAAATATATTATTCGGAGATCGTGAAATGCTGTCTGGTGTGACGTAGGTTTTAGGAAAATATTTTCTTTATCGTGCCAACGTTTCGATCTTTATTAGGAACAACTTCAGGGCGTGGGATATATAAACATTGTTTAAATTTATTTATTTATTGTTTTTGTATATCTAAAATTTCTAGCATTGTATAAATTCATTTTTTTACATGCTACATGTATTTGTAAAATTTAAACAATGTTTATAAATCCCAGGTCCTGAAGACGATCTCAATAAAGATCGAAACGTTGGCACGATAAAGAAAATGTTTTTCTTAGCAACGTCATACCAGACCGCATCTCACGATCTCCAAATAATCGTTAATTAACGGTCACTAAACACCACACAAAAATATGTAATTTGTTGTTTTTATTTTGTTGATTTATTTAATTGTGAAATTAATAGTAAATGTAGTTACCGATCATTTTGGGCTGTTTATTTATTTATTTATTTTTTTTTTTTGGTTTGCTCTTTCGAACGCACTTCGGTATTTTACCATAATCAAAAGTAGTATTATATATATTTCCAAGGTCAGGTTGTCATCAATATTTGTGTCAATAGAATAGTTTGGTCATTCTTGACCATTTTGTTGATATTATCTGTGTCAGTCAACCAAAGTATGATAGAAAAATAATCATGGGAAAACGAAAACAGGCATTGTATAAACGTCTATATTTCCTTTCATGTTTAAAATGTGAATAATATATTTGTTATTATAGCACAACGAAAAGACATATCATCCTTTCAGGAAATCGCAAGTCAACGATTTCTTTTTGTTCCCTTGGCAGTTGGTTGCCCAAAGGGGCCAAGGAGCGAATCGATAACTTTGGTAAAGTGTATGCGCGCATTTTGCCTGTTGAGAAATATTATTTCCGAGTAGTTCTGTAAAAAATCGATGACTATTATTTTTTCCAAATGTTCAACTTTCTAAGTTTGGCACTTACCGCTGCACTTTACATTGCACGTACCTCCCGGATTACTATCGTTTTCGCAGTGATCCGGCGATATCTAAAGAAATAAGAAAGCAAAGCAAAATATTATGGCGTATGAATATATCTTAACAAGATGAACTCACCTGGAACAGGCCGTGGTAATAAAAGTCATATCTTACATATTCTTTTTTTCCAGAATTAAAACCACTTGCATATTCAACTATACAAATCCCTTAAATAAAACAAATATACTTAAGTAATACTTAATAATAACACTTAAATAATAACAAATATAAATTATTTTATGCATACTTGTTGTAAAAATGAGTTCATTATGTATTTTGCACTTTGTAAATAACGTAAAAATATATGTACCACGTAAGAAATATTTTTATACGAAAAGTTAAGAATTAAATAACTTACAATCTGATAAGTAATCTTCATCTAAATAGTGCTTCAGCTCTTTCGCGAGTTCACATCTTTCGAAAACCTTCGATTCAGTTCTAACTGCAAGTGTAGCAAAACCCACTGGGAAAACCCAGAAAAATTTCTTGTGATAATTTAATATAGCTAGGCTATTAACTAAATTGTGAGAGAGAAAAAATACTAGCATGGTAGATTATCAAAATCAATGTAAACGAAATCTGAGAATCAGTATTTTTTAGGTACAACGCAACTCGTCTATAGAAACGAACCAATATTAAGGATTTATAAACGAAATAACACTTGTGTTTACAATGACACTTTTTGTCACGTGAAGCAAATACCAACAAACCGAATCATAACAGAAAATATTTTGTAAACAACGTTTTAGTTAACACTTAAAAAACAAAATAACCCTTTTTTTACAATATTTTATGAGGTACATCGCATTTAGTTTGCAAATCTCTGGAGTAAAATCGAAATCTAGAGAGAGAGAGAGTGAGAAAGAGAGCGAGAGAGAGAGAGAGAGAAGAGTGTGTGAGAGAGAGGGGGAGAGAGAGAAAGGGAGTGAGAGAGAGTGAGTGAGAAGAGTGTGGGAGTGAGAGGTAGGGAGAGAGAGAAAGAGAGTGAGTGAGAGAGAGGAAGGGAGAGAGAGAGGGAGGAAGGGAGAGAGTGAGAGAGAGAGAGAGAGAGAAGAGTATGTGAGAGAGAGGGAGGGAGAAAGCGAGAGAGAACAGTGTGTGAGAGAGAGGGAGGGAGAGAGAAAGGGAGAGAAAGAGAGATATATATAGAGAGAGAAGAGTGTGGGAGTGAGAGGTAGGGAGAGAGAGAAAGAGAGTGAGTGAGAGAGAGGGAGGGAGAGAGAGAGAGAGAGAGAGAGAGAGAGAGAGAGAGAATAGTGTGTGAAAGAGAGGGGGAGAGAGAGAGAGAAAGAGAGTGAGAGAGGGAGAGAGAGAGAAGAGTGTGAGAGAGAAAGAAAGAGAGAGAAAGGGAGAGAAAGAAAGATAGAGAGAGAGAGAAGAGTGTGTGAGAGAGAGTGAGGGAGAGAGAAAGGGAGAGAAAGAGAGATAGAGAGAGAGAATAGTGTGTGAAAGAGAGGGGGACAGAGAGAGAAAGGGAGTGAGAGAAAGAGATAGAGAGAGGGAGAGAGAGAGAAGAGTGTGAGAGAGAAAGAGGGAGAGAGAAAGGGAGAGAAAGAGAGATAGAGAGAGAGAGAAGAGTGTGTGAGAGAGAGTGAGGGAGAGAGAAGGGAGAGAAAGAGAGATAGAGAGAGAGAAGAGTGTGTGAGAGAGAGGGAGAGAGAGAAAGAGAAGAGTGTGTGAGAGAGAGGGGGAGAGAGAGAGAAAGGGAGTGAGAGAGAGAGAGAGAGATATAGGAGAGGGAGAGAGAAAGGGAGTGAGAGAGATAGAGAGAGGGAGTGATAGAGAAGAGTATGTGAGAGAGAGGGAGGGAAAGAGATAAAGGGAGAGAAAGGGAGGGAGTGAGATAGAGGGCGAGAGAAAGAGAGGGAGAGAGAGAGAAGAGTGTGTGAGAGAGATCGAGAGAGAGAAAGAGAGAGAGTGTGAGAGAGAGAGGGAGGGAGAAAAGAAAGGAAAGAGAAACCGGTAAAGAAAGAAAAATAGAAAGGAAGAGGTGCTAACGAGCTAATGAGAGAGAAAGAGAATGACCACAAAAAAATTCGAAAGTGAAAAAGAGAGCACGGGAGGGTGAAATTGCAGTATAGATTTTGTTTTGAAGACATCGAAGAAAGATGGACAGAGAATAAATTTATATATGAAAAGAGACATTTTACGTCTCTCAACTACCTGCAAGCCACTAATTTAAAACCCATAACTTTTTTTTTCTTTTTTTTTGCTAGGAGAAATTCATAACTTGCACACCACCTTTCTTATTTACATATCAATCGTTTAGGTAAATTGGTGGTTTTTGGATGTTCCTCAATTACCCTTAAACCATTCGCTTAATTATATATTACATATTATATAACTCTCTAGTTTAGGGTCGATAAAGAACTCAATGTTACGCCATCGGATTTCACACACTGAGCCGTGCCGACTGAATGATTACTTCATCTTCGTAATATCAATCCTTAAGATCACCTATTGGAAAAGATAGTTCTACTCACAGAAGTATATTTTATATACAAATAATATAATATATTTTGATTACGATGGGCCGCGATAGCCGAGGCGTCAGACTCTCGGCTAGTAGAGCCCGCGGTCGTGGGTCCGATCCGCACCGTCGCCTCTGGACTTTTTTTTCTGACGCCTAAGGGCACCGGTGGCCGCAATTGAAAGAAATTGACACGGTACTCATTAATGGAAGGGGCGGGATCAGATCTCAGCGACCCTGAATTTTGTCCCAACCCTCCTCAAAAATGCGTTTCTTCGATGGAAGAATACCGGCACTCCGGAGGTTCAAATTTACACATTGTTGCGAGCCCTCAAAAATGGAGCCAGGGATAAAGTACAGTAAGCTGTACAGCTGCAGTTCTCATGGGAACTCATCCAGTTCCTGGCAACCATTGAAAAAAAAAACTCCACATCAAATCATTTTTATGTCCTTCAGATCTATCTATTCCAGTTAAAAATAGTATAATTTAAAGTTTCCTATTAATATTTATGTAGTAAAATAGAGAGAACGACATAGAATAATGTGTGTTACATTTTCACTAGCCGTCCATTTTGTCGAACCATCTTCAGATTGTTCAGTGAAAAAGCCATGTGTGGACAACTGGCTTGGAACCTATACTAAAGATAAAAATAAATCATTTCCCGGTGGACGTTTAAAGCTGAGAGAAGGGAATTTTCGAAATGTAAGATCGATTTATTACTCCTTATCAATGCCGTTATGTTCGAACCGGCCTTTTGTTTCGCCTAGTTTCATTTCAGCCGTTGTTTCGATTTTTGTGCTATACCAATGTTTATTACAGCCGATACGAGATGAGAGCGGCGGAAAACCGGAAAGTGTAAAACTGCCCAGCGCCCACTGTCTGCTTCCGCAAGTTGCCAAAATATGCAGCTCGTTTTTTTTTAATCGATGACCCTTTGTGAAAGCTAACCTCCGGCATATTCGGACTTGCGCTCGCGTGGTCTTTTTTTATGGAAAACAGGCAATAACTCATTTTACTTTCCAACAATGACAATACTTGCATACATCAGGTTCAGGAATCATGCCCTGTCATTCATCCGTTTAGGCTTGCTTGCGATTATCGGCTGACATTGTCCGCAATCTACTAAATCATGTTTTAATAGGCAAAACCTATTATTAACAAAAATATACACATTCTACAGTACTTAAAATTTCTGTAATTTAAAATTACTCTATATAATAAATTCCAATTATTCTTCATGGAAATGAAAAGTATAATTGTCAACACTTTAATGTTTATATGTAGCTTTTCCAATAATTTTTGGTATTCCTATCGATGCTGATTTGGTCTGTCACCCTCGCTTTGTTCTTTCACCATGCACAGTGTTATAGCAGGATATTGACGCAGCATGATCGAAAAATATCACTTGAACTACTGGACATAGCGGATGCAGAAAAACGTCTATCAGACAAAATATTCAAGAATACACAAAAATCGGATAAAGATCATTTTATTTTAAAAAAATCAACGTAATAGACTGACGTGGAATCCCCACTCAAGACCTAAATGACTACTACCTAACAGAAGTCCTAAAAACCTACGAACACTTTTTGGACCGAATCCGTGCAGACCATCCTGCAACCTAACCTTATACAAGACTGTATTGAGACTTTTGGACAAATGGAATGGAACTATGAGCTTCGGCCAACCATCCAACATCCAGACCAACCAATCCTCCCAATCAAAAGTCCTCAGACATATCGTCAAAACTCCACGACAGTAACCTCCCTATACACAACGACCTCAGTATTTCTTTTGTCAGAAGATGGTCCGTTCTCGATTCCAAAAATTTCTCACCAATCTCTCAATTGATCCTAAGCGCTTTAATCGACGATGGTTTCGAGACCTCCTTGCCCTTAATCCCTCACAATGAGAGCCAGCATTAGCTGGTTTCACATGGTATGTGTCCTCCCAGTCCCGGTGCTACTGCTGTAACCGTGTGAACAAACGTTGGTGACTTTACACACCACTAATACACACCAATTATTGTTTTTACGCTGCTACTCTACCACTTGAGCTATCGTGACTTGGATCCCCTCGGACACCAGCTATCCATCTCAACCTACAACCGTTCAAATTACACAATACATCCCCCTCGTGACACTGACTTTTTTATCTCAACCAAGACCTTAGAAAGAATAATTAATTGATTGAAAAAAGTAACTTGATCAATTTACTACGAAAACGAAAATGGATTAATATTTAAAAAGTAAAAGAAGTATCACTTCACAGAACAGCTCCCCGTAGCCACTTCATAAGTCACTGAGAATCCAATCCCATTACACGACGTTTTAAAATGGCAAAAAGAGAGAAAATTCGAATGGTTGTAGGTTGAGATGGAGAGTCCGAGGGGATCGAGGTCACGATAGCTCCAGTGGTAGAGCAGCGGCGTATTTAGCCGAAGGTCGTGGGTTCGAATCCGCTCGTGACACTGACTTTTTTATGCCAACCTTAGAACCTTAGAAAGAATGAGTAGTAAATTCAATTGTTACTGCCGAGCTTTCGACCTATATTACGATACGCAAAACCATCTAATATGTAGAAAAATTGACATCATAAAGTTTTTAATAGCCGATTTCAAATTAATTTGAAGAACGACTCAATACCAACATTCCCTTTATGGCAATTTGGTATGATGCGATAGGATATTCACATCAAACATTCCTAGCCAATTTATCTCAGGTACAGTTTTCAGTCTCCACCTCAAATAGATCTTATTATCCATGGCTTACATGAATTTTACTCTTTGTATATTTCCTAAGATACTAGCTCCTGGTATAGGGCATAATATAACTGTATACAAGGTACGGTGGGAATTAACTGGGAAGACTCCCATTCTACTGGGCATACACTATCGGAGAATTTGATTGAAACTTTTTTATCAAATCTGGATTTTGGGATCAACAAGCATTCCTGGAACTTAGACTGCCTGAAGCTCCTCTCGAAGGTTTTAATTGCTTCTTGTTATGCAAGTAGGCTATTGTAGCCAACCCTTGCATTAGCTTATGAATTGTTGCTCTGGTCTGGTATAAAGCTATGTTCTGGTGATAGATTTAGGACTTCCAAGAAACCAGGTTGTGTCTCCGAGCAATACTGAACTGTAATGTCTTCGTTCACTACGCCACCGATCCTAAGTTATTATGGGTCAAACAACCTCTGTTTATAACCACAGGGCCATC